AAGGAAGAAAGGTTAGAACTTGACAACATCAACGATAGCAATCCCCCTCTTGCAACCTCCTTTCCTTTCCCCTAGATAAGACTAAAGGAGAGGTGAGACCTATTTTCACAAATTCTTACTGGCCCAGGGCATCTAGTCTGAAATCCTAAAGGTATTTAAGTTCTTTCCCAATTTCAAAGTATATTAGTCTAGACTAAATAAGAGAACGCTAAAAAGCCCAAAAGAAAAGAACAGAATATGATATCCTTGGTAAAAATAAACTGGACAATCACTAGGAACAAATGATGACTTACCTGTGTAATAGGGATGGAAACAACAGCAGGCTCTCCAGATTTCTTTAACGGGATAACTCTAAGAGACTTTTTCGTAATCCCATCCTTGTTGAAAATACACCTAGTAAGAACATTTACTGTGTAGTTTGCATCCTCTGGTTTTCTACTTTCATCATCTGGAAGTTGAAGTGAATGTGAATAATCAATAGGCTGAAATGAGAAGAGAGAGTTATTGCTCAACCAAAAATCATTTCAGGCCACATACCTTCAGAAACATCTTTCACCTTTTCAAAATTGATTATTACCCCCCATGTAGCCTGATCCTCCAGGGAAAAAGAAGGAGTACTGTCATCATTTTCATTGCATCGGAGACGTACAAGCCTGCCAGGCTGCAAGAAGGGTAAGCAGTACCTTGGGGAGAACACAATATCACAAACATCCTTCTTCAAACTTTTGTACTGTTGTAAGAGAGTATAGTAATTCTTCAAACTCTCTTCTTCTTCAATTATTATTGAATCTCTCTCCTCTTCAAGGTTCTTTGCTTCTTTCTGCAAAATAAATCATACTGGTTAGCTAAACAACTATTCCAACTCATTTCCTTAAAATAGTAAAACAACTCCTTTGGAGCTTGGCCAATATCAACTGACCTCAAGATTGGGAATTGCACGGTCAGATTGAAACTGATAGAATGAATTCCTGAGTAGGTTCTCTGGATCACCATCTTCACATCGAATTTGATTCAAAAGCATGTTGTAGCTTAGATGGAAAGCACTGAATGCATGGGAAAAAGGGAACAGGTCAAAGAGGAAAAGATGCAAAATAAAAGACAGTAATTGCAGTCATAGATCTATACCACACAGTTCCTAAAATATACAAATCTCACTTCTTTTCCTGCATTTGTTTAAACCCCCTACTCCATAATCATTTAAGGCTCTGGGAATCAGATATGAGCAATCCAAAGCACTATCGGTATTTCAAGGGTATAAAAACCACATAAATGACTTGTATCCTAGTCCACACAAAATAACAGTTAGTATTTAAGGAGAAAGATTTGTCATTGTTTTTTTTTGGGTTGGAAGAGAGGTGATTGAATGGTGCTTGAAGCTCTTTGATGATGCTTTGCTCGCAAGAAGTAGGTGTTGGAAGAACACAAAAGAAGAAATATGTTGCAGAAAGGAAGAAAAATGCAAAGGGGAGGTACATTTCTGTCCTTGAATTTTTTGGGATAGGATAAAAGCAAATCAATCACTTTCCTGAGGGTAGAAGAAGCGAAGGTTGGACAAAGATATGCAGAGTGTTGTGAGAGTTTTTTAGTTTTGAAGAGATGATGCAAAAGGAGGTTTTGTTTGATAAATCTGGTGAATTGATAAAGCCAGTTATGCTGCATGGAGCAGAGTGTAGGACAATCAAGAAAGATGTGTCCAGAAAAATAGGTGGGGAAAAAACATGTATACAAAGATGGATGAGTGGAAAAGCTAGGCAGGGTCAAAAATGAAGTCAATGAGAAGAACTAAGGGCTAGCTCCAATAGATGATAAAATGAGAGAAAGTAGACTAAGATGGTTTGGTCATGTGCATAAAAGACAGCATACAGTACTGTAAGAAGCAATCTTTAATATGCTACAGGGGCTAGGAGGGCTAGAGGCTGGCCAAAGAGGACATGGGTCGAAGTAGAAAGAAATGACTTAACGTGCTCATAAATCATAATTTAACAATGGATATGGCATTAAACAGAACCAAATAGTGAAACAGGATTCATGTAGACCCCATAAAATTGGGATCACAAATACGTAAAAAGCAAAATGAACAATGAAATAAAATTATATACCATGTCATTTTAAATAATTAGAGATAAACAAAAAAAAAACTTTAAAATAACTTTGAGGTTGAAAAGTTGCTAATTGTCTCGTCAACCAATTAGACCTTTAAAAAAACAAAAATTGCAACCACCTCCCACACAGCTATGTGGTTCCCCTTTTATAGATATAAAAGGATAGTAACCCTTTTCTGTAAGCAGTAACCATAATTTTATTGGTAATAGAAACTACTTTTTGAGACAGGAAAGGAGAAAAAGGACAAAATCCTTTTACTAAGAAAAAAATAAAAATATCTATCAGAAAAATTGGCTAGTCCTTCAATGGTTCACAAGAGGGAAATTTTGTAAGACGAACAAAAAGAAGCCATTGTATTCATAAAATTCTATTGTTGATCCAATATGCATGTACATATGTGTATGTATGCATTTACGTCATGTATTCCCTTGTAGCTGCTATATAGGGGATTTAGATTATACACCAACTTCGAGGGGAGAATCTACTAGTTGAATGAGATTCCAAGGTGGCTGTTGGACCCAGATTCTTTCACTTGGTGTTATAAGAATCCTCTAAAAAAAGGTAACAGGCTAACAAGGAATATGAGCAATTAAAATTCAATGGATGGGCGGATCAGAAAATATAATGGTTGATTATTTTGCTAAATAAGCGGGCAACTCAGGAACTCTTATACTGGGCTGCATTGTAATGGTTTAGTTATTAAAAAACTGTAATATTTCTTAAAGGAGAGGTCACATCTCGTGCCTCTCATTGAGATGTTTGCAATGCTTATTCTTTTCTTAATAAAATTATCTTTCAATTTATAAAAAAAAAAAGTTCCCCAATCAGGTCAATCAGGAATTCTTTCCAGATAACCCCACTTATTTCTGCCATGTGGAGGAATCCAATCTAAACCATCAATCAGAGCTGTAGATCAGCCAAAATTCACTCCCAAGTCCACATCAACCTCATACCTTACCCAGTATTAAAGTTTTCCCTGAATAATAGGGCCTGTCCAACATATCAATGTCTTTATTAAAAATAAACCAAGAAGGGCTTGTTTTGGCCAAAGGTGGCAAGGGGTGTTAAGAAAATTGTCCAGGACCAGGCTGTAATTTGTAAGAGAAATTTCTTCTGCTGTTTTTGTCATTTTTTTGCTCTACTAAGGACATTGTAATTTTTGGCCACCTGCTCTGGTTCTAAGCAGTGTGGTTTCTGTTCTTTAATAAAATTTTCCTTGATGCTTATCAAAAATAAAAAAAATAAAAAAGAAATTGCACCATAAAAAATACAAAGGATATGACCACAAAGAAGATTTCTGGATCCTTTACTCAAGAAGCCCATCCATCCATGTATGTAGTGTACAGATATACATATAGTTCATACTCTACATGCACAATAAGAGAAATACACATGTACATTTCTGTAACCTAGTTGACTTTCTTGCCTTATAATTATGCAATACCACTAAATTATTAGTTTCCATTCTTTTTTGTCATTAATTCATGCATAGATGAGATACAAACATCAAGTTGAGTATTGACCAAGAGGTGTACTTACCTGTTCAGACAATCAGCACTTCCCTTCAGCATCGTTTTAGCTGTGGATGGCTCCAGCGTCTCATCAACCATGAGGATGCATATCCCTCGTTCATCAATACCACGGCGACCAGCACGACCACTCATCTGTATATACTCTCCACTAGAAATCCATCTGAACTTATCACCATCAAACTTACGAACATTTGTAAACACAACAGTTTTTGCAGGCATGTTCAAACCTATGCTGAAGGTCTCTGTGGCAAATAAACACTGAAAGAGAATATATCATTACTAAGAAGCACTTTGAAAATCAATTATAGACAAGAAAATAAAATAGGTAAAAAGAAACAAGTAAGAAGTGTTTGTTCCCTCTATGTTCTTGCCCAAATAAAGCCATAAAAGAAGACTGCCATGAACAGTTGAATGAAGAACTGATTTGGAATCCTATTTTTAGAAGGAATCTAAATGATTGAGAAGTCCCTCCAATGAATGAACTGTTAACTCTCATTCAAAGTATAATGCCCAACACTGTATAGGAGGATAGAATTTTTTTTGAAGATAAAAAAAAAAGAAAAAAATCATTAATTGAAAAGAAAGTACAAGAATAATAGGTGATGAGGCATCACACAAATTACAAAACTAAAAGAGAAACAGTACAAACAGAAACTAGCAGGCTTCAAATACATATGCTTTCAATCCCATTAAGACCAATTCAAAGAGGACCAAATATCAGTTCCAAAATTTTCCTTGTGTATGCCAAGATTTGCAACTAGCGATAAGGACCAACCAGCTACTAGGGAATAATCAACTTGAGATTCAAGCAGTTGAAGAACTGCTACCGGAATTTCAAGGACAATTTAAGTACTAAAAATAAATAATGCAGTTGAATAATGAATAAAGCAATAAATGTAAATAACTGCAGAAATGTAAATGTGAAACAGTTAAATGTTAGTGATTAGTAGTTATAAATCACACAAACTACTAATCAAAGATATTAGTGCAGTTAGTAGAGTTAGTAAAGTTGGTAGCTCAGTAATTGAACCAAGATATCTAAATCTTGGAGTTCAAATGAAAATAAACAAAATAATGTGCAATAACTGCAAGATCTTTAGATACTCAAGTTTAAGCAGTTAGTAAAAGAGTTAGTAAATGCTAGTAGCAAAGGAACTGCAGAAACCTGAAAAGTAAAGAAAATATAAAGCAAAGAAAGCACAGAGAAAGGCACACAAGATTTTTATAGAGATTTGACAGAAACCCCTACTTATGTCCTCTACCTCAAACATCCTCTAAGGATTTTCTCTAACCAAACCAGCTGGACTTTCCAAGCCCCAACAGAGCCTTACAACTATAGGTTTTTCAAGGCTCCTACAACCTTGGATAAGCTTCCAAGTGATATCCAAACACAACAGAACTTCACAAGTGCCTGCCAAACCTGAACTAGTAGATCTTCAAGGTCTCTATCAAACCCTAAATGGTGTTCAACCTAGGACACTGTTAGAGGCACAAGGGGGCAGAAACTACAAGTATATTCTGGAAGGAGAAGAAGGCCACCTCTGCATAAGGAAGCCAGTGCAAAGACAGCTGGAATTAACTGAGTCAAATTGGAGTTAACTAAATCAAACAAGTTGGCAAGTTGTTATAATTCTGTTGTAAATCAGTCACATTGAAGGCAAGATTGAATATAAATACAGAGGTGTACTTACAATAAGGAGATAATAAGAAGATTTGATCTCTTCCTCTTTTCACTCTCACTTTCCCCTATTCTGGAGGTTATCCTCCCTCGAAGAGGATCTGAGTTGGGCAGCTACCCAACAGACGCCTCTTGCACTCAAGGTATTACAAGTAAAACACAGTACAGCAAGACTCAAGGCCTCTCAAATAGACAGATATAACAATATACAACACAAATCTATTCAGTTGCAAGACTATACATAGAAATGCTCAGAATTACAAGTAAAACACAGTACAGCAAGACTCAAGGCCTCTCAAATAGGCAGATATAACAATATACAACACAAATCTATTCAGTTGCAAGACTATACCTAGAAATGCTCAGATCAACGAAGATACACTCAATAGATAGGTGAGACTGTATGAGACCTTTGGCTTCTCAGCTTTACTCACCTCTAAAAACTATCAAAGCTCAAAAGTCGCTTCAAAAAATAAAAAACTATGTACACTAATAGCTCAGGTTGTTTTTTTTCTTGCTTGTGTTTGAATCAAGATGGAGACCTCCATTTATAGAAGTCTGGAAAGCAAGTGACCGTTTTCTAGGCATTTAAAGTCTCTAACTAAACATAGTAATGATTTAAAATATCTCCCCAACATGATAGAAGGCTTGCCAAAGATAGCAATAGTCATTTAAACCTTCAAATGGTCAAATTTCTTCTAAGTAGTCAACTACTATGTTCTAGTAGTCATCTACTAGATCAAGGGGGGAATATTTTTCTATCCTTTGGTCAACTAACTCCTTTTATTCAGTCAACTAATACTTGTTTTAACTCAGTTAGTTAAGGTTTAAATGACTATTGCTATCTTTGGCAATATTCCTCTCAGACAGGGCATTTCTATTACAGTTGGTCGACTATGCATTTTGGGTTAGTCAACCATGTCTCACAGTCAGGCATTTCATGCCACAACTATCATAGTCTACTATGCATTTTGGGAAATCAGCCAATGCTATGGCTGTCTAGCCAAGCAAGGGGTAGCCAAGGATCATTTGTATTGGGCACAGTTGTAGTTTGTTGTTGCCTTGGAGAGTACACAGCTTGCGCCTCTTCAAGAATACCCCTTGCTTTAATTAATATAATGAATTACTTTGTTTATCAAAAAAAGATGCTGCCAAGACAAGTGAAAATTCGAGTAAGATGCATAAGAAGATCCGCTAATGGCTTGGTAGATGGATTAGCTAAGGAGTACATAAGACATCATTTGTATTGGGCTCAATTATAATAGGGTGGTGGGGTTTTTTGTTGTAAAGGGTTTTATATCTAGCCCCTTGTTGTATTCTCCTCTAAATTTTAATAAAATTCTGTGTAGCTTATAAAAAATTCTTGTAAATTATCAGATCAGTCCTAATAATATGCTGTCACTTTAGCAGAAGAATGACTTTCCCTGGTCCAGAATTTAGCACCCCCACATCCCTTCCAAAATTGACTGCATCATTTGAAAGATGTTTGACTACAAACCGGATGAGAAGAAGAGATCTAATGCTCTATGTTTCTCTATGCAATGAAGTCCTGGAGTCCCCAAATCACCTTTTCATTCACTGCAAATTCTCTCAATTAGTAGTACAGCTGCATTTGGACTACATTTCTCCATTGAATATAATACAATACTTCACCTTCTTCAAAAAACATTTGAAAACTAGTAATTTCATAACAGGAAGTATAAACAGAAGGATAAGTGAAAAGAAAATAGGGATTAAAAAACAAGCAATCATTTTTTTGGTAATATAAACTGAATGAGGTGATTCAGAGAATGGCCAATTTGGGGGAAGGGAGAGCCAAAGGCTACGTCCATATCCAGTCTACCCCTCCCAATAGGCCATTACCCCAGATAGTCAGGATAATTATTAATCTGCTAAAAACACCCACTATAAAATTGAAAATTTTTATGTTTTTTTTTCCTCTAACCTTGATCAGACCTTCTTGAAACAGTATTTCAATCACTTCTTTTAAAATTGGAAGCAACCCAGAATGGTGAACACCTATTCCACGCTTCAACAAGGGCAACATGTTTGAAACCTGTAGATTATTAGAACATTAAGAAACCACATAAGAAAAATAACAATTGGTCAATGAACCTGTTTTCTCAACATGAGAACCAAAATAAACTTGAGGAGAAGCACAGAAGCACATATATATACTTCCATCAAACACTTCAACCAAATTTTCCCTTTTTATCAGTAGTGGTAGTATCAATCAAAATATTTATATTTAATATGTCTACAAATATAGATGTGGGAAACCTCCTAAAATGAGAGGATCCCAAATACAGAATTGTGATAAAGGAGGGAATTAAATTGGCTAGCAAGGGAGATAGGAGTCTCATTCAATTGGGTCAAAAAGTCAGCTAATGCGCTAACTGATATATTGGCAAAGCAGGGGACTTTTAGAGAAAGCTTCTTTTGGACAGTAATGTAATTTAAGTTTGTTTTTTGGGGTTAGCATCCATGTGCTTGGGTGGTTGATAGTTGTAATTTTGTATTAAATTAACTTCAATGAAAGTCACTGTTTCCTATCGAAAAAATAAAGNGGGGGGGGGGGGGGGAATGTAAATTCAGCACCCTTTAATGTCCCACAAGATCCGCCCACTTCATATCAAAATCAGTCCTGCTCATGTCTTTAAAATCTTTATGCACCAACACCCTGTCCAAAATAAAAGAGCTGAGATATTTGTAAATTCTAGTAGTATTGTCTTGCTTTCAAAAATCCTTCTATTCCTTTCCTTCCAAATCCCTAAGGTACATAATTACCAAAAAAATCTCCAAGGTACAAAGACGGTAAATTTGGAGTTAAGAGTTAAAATTGGTCAAAGATTAAACCAACAAACCCAAAAAATCGACCTTCCACAAACCAGATCACCAACACCAACCTAACCAAGGTAGCAGAGCTGAACCAGCTTGAGAAAATAGAACAGGGCATAAGTATCACTTCTAAAACAGCTGATGGCTATGGTAGAAACAGAAAGAATTCTTCGTTTAGTCCTTAGCAGGAAAAAAATTAGAATAAAATACATTGCTATTCACAAACCTATCAGTATATATATGTTTTTCTTTTCAAGACTTGTTGACACTATTCGGTAGACCCGAAAATAACTTCCAACTTGTTCTTGGACTCTTAACTCCTACTTCTATTCATAGTTCAAAAAAATTAAAAACTTCCTTTTCAAAAAGGACACTTCCATAACTTTATAATTTTACTAAAACTAATTTCACAAAAGAAACCAGAAATTACAAAAAATATAAGTCATGATTTACTATAAATGGTAATGATGAAACTCACCATAATAGCAATTACGGGAAGTACTATAAATACTAGTGGGGCCTACTGGTCAACCTGTTGACTTTCACTGACAATTTGTTAACATTCAAAAAAAAACAAAAACAGTGATCTCTCTTGATGAAAGCCTTCCTACCACCTGATTAGCTTGATACTTGGAGGGTCTCCTCTACACTTCTTAAGCTTCAGTATATCCATATCTTAATATAATCCAATGGTTGGATAAAGAGAAATTAGCTTTACAAGATATGCATGGAAGATAGACAGTGAATAGTGTTCTCTATTAACTCCATTTTCATTTTTTATTGAGGTTTAGTCAATGATTGCTTAAATCCATCTATATCATTGCATCTACTAATTTTACAGCCTTCCCTGTTAACATTCCTGCATTCCAAGTAGCTGATTGAGTTTGTGTTTTTTGGACTAAAAAGTATAAACATAGACACAGTAAAAATTAGTGGACCACTAAAAAGAGAATAAATCTTTAAAGATGTGTTTGGTTAGAAGGAAAAAGTAGGGAAAGGAAGGGAAACCTATACAAACCTTGTATAGGTTAACATTGTTTCCCTACCTTTTCCTTCAAAGCAAACACAGCCTCAGGAAATATGGTTTTGTAGTACCTCAAACCTGAATGACAAGTTAAGGAACAAGTCAAGAGTTTACCAAGGTTTAGGCTTATCATAACATTCATGCATGTACATAAATACTTTAACAACATACATATTATATGGATGTGAAGGGAATAGCATCTTGCCTGGGGAAGCTTCTTATCATCATCTGAAAGCATGTCCATGGCACTCCAAAATATAGTTTCTATATTAACTTTTTCATCATCCTCATTAAGATCCATTTTTGCCATCTATAAGACCAAGAAAAATGAGAAATACCCATAGCTTTAGCTGTCAATTATAATCACCAGAAAGCCATATGAAGCTTGAAAAAAGTCAAAAACACTAGTAAATGGAAATTTTTTATAACAAATAAAGAAAAAGAACCATCGAATTAAAACACTGTAAAACTTGATTAGACAAAAAATGATAAGATGAAAGAACAACCAAGTTAGATTCATGTTTAACTGCTGTCTGTTCAAAAACTTCAAATTAAAGTTACCCAAAAAAAGATAAAAAATTTCAGCATAATCTAGGAATAAATATTTTCCTAATATATGGCTCTACAAACATAAATTAATAGATTATATAAACACTCTTGCACAAGGAGAGTCATGGTTTGAAATGTCCATAAATTTCCTAATATATCCATGACATACTTCCATTTCCATGGGTAGCGACACAAAATTTTACTAGAATCAACATATTCCCCAGTGAACACTACCAGCAGGTCCAGCACTATGATGGAGTGCAAGGGATAGTATTATAACAAATTTGGTGACAAGACTATCATGTAGTTTTGCTTGAACACATTCTATCATGTAGTTTTGGATCTTAAGGCTTACAAGAAAACAACTTCACAGTGCATTATTTTGTCTATAACCTTAATTTCTTAGTTCTGTTTAATGATTTGGAACAAGATAACAATTTAAAAAGGTGTGCCTATGCTTCTTTTATCATTTCATAAAATATCATTCTATATTTTTGCAAACTTTACAATGTTTCCACCATGTCTATAAATTATACAATATTTCCAACATTTCCAACATGTTTCCTATATTTGAATGACCAACATTTCCACCGACACTGGCATTTTAAACCTTGTGGAGAGCCTGATAATCTTGGGAAAAGTACATATGTATGCTATTTGTAAATTGAAAACCCAAATAAGCTCGGCCAGAATTCAAAATCCCACTGCACCTAATACTTTACTATCTATTTCCCAATTCCCGCACCATGGTATCTTAATAAGAAGATATGGCAGTCCCTTGGTCTTCTACTGAAAACTCTTTTGTCTTCATTTACCCAGTTCACCTAACCCCACCTTACAAACCAGACACCCCTCTTTTCGCAAGTCTCTTTTCTGCTCAGTTCTCTCCACAGCTCCCCCCCCCCCCCTCGCCTTATGTCTGTCTCTCAGTCAATCCAAGTCTCACGTTAGATTTCTCCGAATCTCACCAGTCTCCACTGATGATAACATTTATCAACTAGACCTTCCTCCATCATCACCGCTACAGTTGATAATCATTGTCATCTTATTCATCTCTTTCCAACTTCTTTCTGTCAATCTGAAGACAGCTCATAAATTTTTTTTGGAAAAAGATAACATAATATTTATTGAATCAAAAGATACACAAACAAGCTGAGATCAGTCCCAGAAAGGCCGACTGAACAATTCGGCAATTACATATTCCACCAAGAACTGGAATGAAAAACAACAGACATGTTACAATTTCTGAACTCCTCAGAGACTGACACCCAAGAGATTAGTTTGCCCACAGCTTTCTGGATTAACTCTTCTGGACTTAAAGCCTTATTACAGAAAAGCCTACTATTCCTCTCAGACCAGATGGACCATAAGACAGCACTAGGAATAGTCTTCCACACTATCTTCCTCTTCTTGTTAAGCCCCTTGATATTCCAGCAACACAAAAGTTCCTTTACTGAACTTGGCATAGCCCATCTTAAGTTCATAGAGCCAAAGAAGTGATTCCACAGATGAGAAGAATACGGGCAGTGAATGCACAAATGATCAGTAGTTTCAGGATTGTTCCCACACAGACTGCACGACAGGTCCAAAAGCTGAATGCCCCTTCTCACAAGATTAGCTCTAAGCAGACATTTATTCAGAACCATAGTCCAAACTAGAAAGTTGGATTTAGATGGGCTAATGGGATTCCATACCTGATGACAAGGGAAATCAGTGGCACCCATTCTACAAAGTTTGGAAGCCAAAGACTTGACAGAGAAAACACCATCTGGACTCCACTTCCAATACCACTTATCTTCTGAGCAGAAATCGACCTCTTGAGTCTGAAGAATAATCAACATGTCCATTATCTCTTCCAACTCCCAATCAAAAAGATTGCTTCTAAATGTAGGGGACCAAGTAATTGAATCTCCAAATAAGCTGCAACACTCAGCAACAGAAGCCTCTTGGTTAGATGCACACTGAAAGAGGAGAGTAAAAGATTCAGCAAGAGGACCATCCAAGCACCAAGAATCATTCCAAAACTTGGTTCTACTACCATTGCCGACCTTAATTGATATCCCATCAGCAAGAATAATGAAGTTCTTCATTATCCCTTTCCACAGAGAATTTCCCCAATTGGGACGAGGGTCCCTAGTTCTCCAGTTGCCCCACTCCACACCATACTTACTAGCAATGAGAGATCTCCACCAGGCATCATTTTCAGCCGCAAATCTCCAAATCCACTTACAGAGAAGGGCAGAATTAAAAGTTTTCAACTTCCTTATGCCTAAACCACCTTCATCCTTGGGGAGGCAGACTTGCTCCCAACTAACAAGATGGATTTTTTTCTCCTCATCCCAACCCCTCCAAACAAAGTTCCTTTGAAGTTTTTCAAGCTTTCTTGCAACTTTGTTAGGAATAGGGAAAAGGGAGAGGAAGTAGGTAGGTAAATTGGATAGTATACTCTTAATCAAAGTCACCCTACCCCCAAAAGAAAAGTATTTTGCTTTCCAAGATGCCAATTTTCTCTCCATTCCTTCAATAACTAGGTCCCAAATTGAAGATAGCCCACAGCTCGCCCCCAGAGCAAGACAGCTCATACATTTTCATTCACCAATGACAAATATAACTTATTGCCCCCCATTCACCTCTAACTTTGTTTTTTTTTTTATCATAATCACCTCTAACTCTGTTCCCTTTCTCCTTGTCTCCCAGTTGCAATCACCCATTGTTCCAGATCCTATGCTCTCCCAACTTCAGCACTCATCCTCTCTCCTCAGACTTGTGTCTTCAACCCAAGTCATCAATCCTGTTCCTGCCCCTCTGCTTCTTTCCCCAACCGAGCAATTGACCTCTCAGGTCCCCCATTTCGATTCTCTGATGTTCTGTGTGCTTGACTCTCTGTTCTCAGTGTAACATTTCAAGCCTCCTAAATTGCAGTCATTGTCTTGGGAGTGCAAGCTACCAAGGAGACCAGTTCAACTTTTACAGGGCAGTGCTTCCAAGCATTGTTTCTCTGAACAGGGATGCCAGCAAGATTCTTGGATTACTTGCATACGCTCCTGCATTTGGGAATTCAGGTCCACTAGCAATGATACATGTTTCTCACACTGCAAAGATAATCACTCCAAGGATGGAATATGTAGGTTCAATTCTTCCAACATTCAAAAGCCATTTCGGTGCCTTTTTTTTTTGATCGGTAACAGAATTTGATTATATTAGAGGAAAATTACACAATAGAGGAGAGATAACCTTTCTTAGTAATCTAAAAGCACTTTAGCACTCGGTTCAGACAGAGGCGTACAGTAAGAGATGAGCGTGTGTGGTTCGACTTCGGGTGGCACACCTCCCTCCCGATCCGTTTGAGGGAAAGGAGCGATTTCTTTCCAAGTTCCTTTCTTAGATTGGCTTCAGATATCTGCTTCCGGTTTTATTAGTTTTAAAACTAATAAAAAAATAAGAGTTTTCGAGGATAGCTCTAATCTTAAGGGTAAATTGAGGAAAGAGTTGTATTGCAGGTGTTTATGTGCAGGAAGAGGTAATCTGTGGGTTACCTGAGGAGCTAGATTGTGAAGTTAAAAATTGGCCCATAGAGTAGTTAGGCCTTCCACTGGGCGGGAATCCAAGGACTAAGGGCTTTTGGAAACCAATAATGGAGAGATTTACTAAAATGTTGGCTTCTTGGAAAAGGAATTATATCTCACTATGAGGAAGGATAACCCTGATCAAGGCTACTCTGAAAAATCTCCCGGTTTATGTCCTCTCTACCTTCCATGTCCCTATTAAGATTCTTGGGCAGTTAGAGAAGATCATGAGGGACTTTATATGGGAACCTAGAGTTGTAAATTGGACTATGCCAACTGCGGCCCATCACTATAGCACGTGGCCCGTGCCAGGCACATCACGAAGGTATGGGCCATGTCGGGCTTGTGTTTTCAGGCCCACGGGCCGGAACGGGATAATATAATTTTTATAATATATAATATATTAATATATATATATAAATTTTTATTTTCGATGTTATTATACTATTTTATTAGAATTGTATTGTAATTTTTTTAATTTCATTTTATTATTAGATATATAAACAATTGTATACATCAAATTTCATATAAAATAAAATTTTAAGATTTTTTCAATTTTTTGTCTAGCCCAAGGCTTGGCCCACGGACCAGCCCGACCCGCTTAGGCCCCTGCCTCGACACGGCCCGATTTACACCTCTATGGGAATCAGAGGTTGAGAAGAAGGATCGCTCGGTTAATTGGGAACAGGTTAGTAGGCCAAAGGAGAAGGGGGAATTGGGTAAGGTAATTTGGTTCAAAAGAATATAGCTCTCTTAGGGAAGTGGTTGTGGAGGTTTCCACTTGAAAGTGAAAGCCTCTAGCATAAGGTTATTAAAAGCATGCATGGGCAATCAAACTATGGTTGGGATGCAAAGGTAGCTTCTAATGCAACTTCAACTTCTCCTTGGTAAGCAATCTATGAGGTAATATCCCTTCTCAATCTCATTCAATATGATGTGTGAAACAGACAAAAAGACCTGTTTTGGGAGGATATTTGGTTGGGGGACAATCCTCTCAACGTCCAATATCCCTTGCTCTATGCAATCTCCATTTACAATCTTGAATCTATCTCAAAATTTGTGGCTTTCTCTAAATCAAGTTTAAGTTAGGACTTTGGCTTTAGAAGAGGGCTTAGGGTTTCAGCATGTGAATCTCTCATGCTTTTGATGGCTAGACTTGAGTCAATTTATTTGGATCTAAATTTGGAGGACAACA